GCTTCAACATGTCACCTACTTGTTTCGCGATTATATGGAGCTAAGACGCCGATACCCGTTAAGGACGCTGATGTATAGGAGAGTGAAGGCTAGTGTCGATTTAGCGAGATACTGCAGAAGCACGGCCCAAAGTCAGTTGCTGGTGGTCGAAACTGGTGCGGAAGCACTCGAGGAGGGCGATGGTGTCGGCGCGCTGCTAGGCCGTAAGGTTGGTGTCGATGCAGCGCGAAATTACGTCGGGAAATGAATGGAAGAGGGTGACGCGGAGCAATCAACAGCGTCAATAGGTAGCGTAGTCAAGTGGTCTGGAACTGCACGTGCACTCGAAGAACCAAAGTCATCGGCAAAGTCTAAGCACTCTTCGCACAGTAACTTGGAAGGCGAGGGAAACGGATTTGAAACATAAATTGCACTTGATCTATCGTGAATGTTCAGAACGACGAAAGGAATCGGGAAGAACTTGCGGTGTCAGCGGTTTCAAAAGGCGTAAAAAGAACAGTTGAGACATCAGAGACGTAACAGGAAAGCGGAACTAGGGCGGATGAGAACGGGGATTTGAAGGGTCGGGGGCAATGAAAAGTTTTGCAGGCGAGTAGAATGAAGCAGCATCGCATAACGGCGAGTACTCCACTTCGGTGCGAGTACACTCGATGACGGCATAACGAGGACAGAGAAAGTCCCCGCCTAATATAATGTCATGAGAACACTGCGGGAGCACTACGAACTGAATGGCATAAATAACTCAGCAAAAGGGCGAATTCGTTGCTCGCTCGCAATGCTCAAAACGAAGTCGTGAAGAGGCATTGTGACTTTTTTTTAGTCGACGGCAAAGTTTCTCAGTCATTACAGACACTGCGGCGCCAGTATCGACCAATGCAAAAACAGGTCCCTATCGCAAAAACCAGTGGCACTGGTCCAGTGCCATACCTGATTACTGGATCAGTGTGGCGCTGACACTGGGACAGTGTGACGCTGCACAAGGCACGCTGGCGCTTCACACTGGGACACCTATTATCGGCCAAAATCTGGCTTTTATATTGTTTATAAATTTTTGGTCATGCGCACATCGTAAATAGAGCTGAAACATGGGCGCAAAAAATAAAAATAAAAAAATAAATAAAAATATGCTGGTTGAGCAGGAAATACATGACGAAACTTGATTATCAGACTGATACTAATGTCATACTGTGTTGCGAATTATCAGTTCTATTGATGCCGTTTATGAAATACATTGACGAAATTCGATAAAACCTACTACTCCTACAAATCACACATCCCGAACCTGACACGCTACCCACTACACAACATTTGAAGGACGAGCATGAGTGTATTTTTCTTCGTGTTAAAAGTAATTTAGGTATTGAATATTTTGATTTTATTGCTTACGTACCCAGTGTTTTTCTTTTCTTCCTCGCGGCAAACAAACAGGTGATTGTTAACCTATTTTTTGCGGGTTGCCTTGAATCACATTCATCTCGCACGTTTTACCGCAAAGCATGTTAGCGTAGCTGCAGATGTGTTACGCCAATCGTAGTGATCGCTATGCAGTTAGTCATACCTATGTAGAAAATAGCATCCATATGCACTGCTCAATGAACAATGTTGGTTTCGTTCCTCGATAGTTAGGAAGTATTTTCTATCCTCCTCATTTACGTTCCGCGTACGACAGCCGCAGCAGTTCACTCTAGCGGAAACGACCATCTGGTTTCGGGCCGTACTTCTTGTGCCACGGTTGCTGTGAAGATCGTAGACAAACGCTTAGAAAAAGTTTAATAGCTGCTAAACTGTAGTTTAGATCATAAGTGGCATATGAGCGGTCATATTTTCACTATCGACAACACGAATCAGCAGCTAAAAATACCGAGATTGGGCATATCAGCGGATGGATGCCACCGGGGACGTGCGGATTTCTACTGTACGAGTCGCAACGACTCACTGTTGAGTAGGTTGGTCTTGATTATCAGACTGATACTAATGTCATACTGTGTTGCGAATTATCAGTTCTATTGATGCCGTTTATGAAATACATTGACGAAACTCGATAAAACGTCAAGGAAAGCGCACCGGTGCCAGGAGGGGGGGAATCTATCGGTGGGCTGGAGCCTTTTTTCCCAAAATTCTCGCATGCCCCCCTTTGCCCCCCCCCCCCCCCAAAGAGGAAGCGTAGTTAAAACACGACGCATAGGTTCTGTGCCTCCCTGTCCTCTTGCAGGAACACAGTATTCGTTGGTCTCCCGAGCAAAATCCTTGTGGCCTCCTTGACCCACGCGCTCGATATACTAATGCTTTAGCGTACTCGCATCCATTCCCTAAAAAAACTGAAGCTATATATGTGTAGCGCATGGAAGAAAATACCATGGGAATACAAAGATGTTCGGTAAATTTTACGCTCGCCATCTCGCGATTCAATATGAAGTTTTACAGAAAGTGCGCCGATCGCGCCTAGTTTCTTGCGATGTCCCGCTAACGTTATTAGTGTGCGGTAGAGACTGTACAGCATAACCATTGCCTCCCAGCGCACTTTAAGACACTGGTCACGCTGTACGCTGTTTCCCAGTGCCTCGCAGCGCGCTGTAAAACACTGGGACATACTGTACAGCGTTTCCAGTACCGCCCAGTGCAATGAAACGCACTGGGAGACACTCGAAACGCTGTTTTTTTTTAATAGGGGTATACCTTCAACGGAGACAGCAATGACGTTGGACAGTGAAAAACAATGTCTTGTGGAATTCGAAAGATTCCCAGTTTTTGCCCCCGGAACTTCGGCTCCAAGAGTTCCTCAGGCACAGGGTGAGGTCGACGTGGCATAGGGGAAAGAGAACGACGTTTAGGTCAAGGCGACCGGTGTCTGTTGAAGTTCCGGCGAGGTGAAAATGAGTCCATGGTTGCAGGCTCGCCAGATACAGCAGGCTGAGGTCGTGGTGGGAAATCATAAGGATTGGTCCGGACGTCATCACACAGGGAAAACTCACACCGTTGAAAAACCCGCGCCACGTGACCTGCGATTCCACAGGCAAAGCATATGGCGCAGTTGTCGTGAGCGTATGGTGCGGTTGTCGCTCCAAAGGTTCTGAAAGCGTGGTACTGGTGGTCGGGAGACCTGACGGGCAGCCTGGTGCATAGGCTCAGGCGATACGACAAAGGGGCGCGTGGACTTAGGCGTTCGCAACAAAGAGACGTGGGTGTTCACGACAAGTGGACGTCGGGTTCCGTTCAGTGCTTCGGCATAGGTCAGTGCAGCAGCCACAGGTGGTGCGTCAGCTGTTGGTAGCGCTTCCGACACTTGCTCCTGGACGACTCGCTGTATTGATGGCGCTAAAGTAGATAGGGCACCTTCGGAGGTATAAGGCACGATGGACAACTGGCGTGCGACCTCTTCTCGCACAAATTGCTTCATCTCGAGAAGCAAAATGGTGTGTACTACAGCAAGGCCAGCCGAAGTTAAAGCGGAGATTGTTGCACATGGCACGCTAGCATGACGAGTGGTGTCATGCTGTTTCCAGAGCTTGTCATAGCTCTGACAAAGTTGGATCACTTCCGCTACTGTTTATGGGCTCTTGGCGACATGCATCTGAAATGCGGCATCATTCCCGCGTTTCAACATGTGTTTGATCTTCTCGGCTTCTGTCATGCCGAGTTGACACGCCATTAAAAGTCGACCACATCTTCAATATAACTGGTGTAATTTTCACCCTTCTGCTGAGCCCTAGTACGCAAGCGCTCTTCGGCCCGTAGTTTGCGAAGTGCTGAACGGGTAAACAAGTCCGCAAACGCCGTTCGGAAGGCCTACCAGGTGGGAAGGTCTCTCTCGTGATTATGGTACCACAGACTGGCTACGTCGGACAAATAATATAAGACGACGGTAAGCTTGTGCGCATCGTCCCACTTCTTGTGCTTGCTTACCCGGTCGTTTTCGTCGAGCCAGTCTTCTACGTCCTCGTAATCGATTCCACTGAAGGTAGATGGATTGCGTTGCTGAAAGGAGCCGAGACAGACAGGAGCTGTAGTACTTGGAGCCGAGGCGGCCACCTGCTGATTGTCGTCCATTGACATAGTAGCAACAAAGAAACGTACCGTTTCGGGATACGAGAATTATGCATTACCCCACACCTCCACCAATTTAAATGAGGTGTTTTAGAGCGGCACTGTTTTATATAACAGGAAAGCGGTCACGACAAATCAAGTGGTAATGGTGGAACCAGCCTGTGCAACGAGCCATCCGAACGTCGTCTTCTTCGCCACAGACTGAGTGATAACCTCTGCCTTTCTGAGTAGCACTTATCTTCTTCAATACAATATTTTCTTTCCCTTTCTCTCTCTCTCTCTCTCTCTATATATATATATATACATATATATATATATAATATGGATTTGTTTGGTGTGATTTATCAATAAAGTATGTGTTACATATGAATTCTTCACCACTTTTTCAGCCTTTTTATTTTTCTTCATTGCATCCTGTTCATTGATAGAAGCTAAGTATTACCTGCCACCACCTATAGTAATAACAACTTGAGAGCCCCCCTTTACACAATTCACAACTGGCCTGCAAGGAATTGCAAATAAATAAACACCATTTTGTTATGATTAATTAGTTGCGACATATAGTGTTCAACTTGTGCGTTTGTGTTGGAGCATTTCTGGAGAAGCCTAGAAATATGGGCACATTTTTATAGCAATCAGCTTATCATTAGACTTCTCAATAGGTAATTTTCACCAAAAACGGTTATCTCTCAGCTTACAATTAGCGCATGTCTAGGTTGAAATATCTGAAAAACCATTTTTTGTGTCTCACATGTCTTCAGACTATCGTAGCGGTTCTGAATGGAAACCACCACGAAAGCTCAAGCTATTTCCTAAGGAGCCTCGGCCTAAAAATTCACGGCGGTAAATAAATGCAACAAAAGTACATGTTGGTGTGCCAAAAAAGCGTAGTACCAACTAATATTTAGGGCTATTTGTTTCTGATAGTTCACAAAAAGAAAAATGATGCTTCTTACCAAGCAAAAAAGGAGAGGTTCACCACCGATTAGATTTTTGACCAAAGGTTAAGCAGCACTTTTCCTGTTCTGTCGAACAGCGTCCATACGGATGTTCAATGTCCGACTTTGGGCATTCAGACTTGCAAGTTCCTCCTCTGTGATGACACTTCGCATATTCCGCTTTGTAAAGACAGAGACACAATCATTTAGTAGCTGTGCAGATGGCAGTGGTTACACTGATAGTCGCTAAGTATTAACCGGCACCAGGTATAACAATAACAATCTCTATTTGTACAGAATTAGGGCTTTCGCCATAAAGACAGAACATCCGATATTCACCTTTCTGATAGCAACGAAAATATATTCTTTGAAAAAATATCGCAATATTTCGCACGCAATGCAAATTTTGATTGAAGCAAAATTGCGACATTGTTGTTGCATCGTACTAGAAGGCTATACTTTAGTCTCCCATGCAACTTGCTTCTTTAAAGCATGCGCTTAGCATTCCACCTGTCAGCCGGCCGTATGAAGTTTATGCTTCCTATATTCAGAATGTGTACTTGCATAACTCTTATATACGCAGTAAAGTGCATATACAGGCTTCAGAACAAATTCTATTAAAGCCATAACACAGAAAACGTTACGCTGTCGACGTAACACAAAATTTATGGTGATCTGATCTTGTTTGCTCAGTTCTGCAGCACGTTTATTTGATAGTTAGCCTTTTACACGTGCTTTGGCATTTCTTTTATTTGAAGTAGGAGTTGGTGAATTCGCCAGCGCGCAGACAAGCAGAAAAAAATAACGCGGTGTCAATAAAAGAACAAGAAATCATTAGAATAACTTGCGTCCAAAATTGAACTAGAACGAACTGCTTGGCGACTGCAATAAAAATAGCGTATAAGAATGGTGGCTCAAAGACGTCCAGCTGGTTGAAGGAGCAATCACATATCTATTGCTTCTGTCGCAAAATATCCGCTCATCAGGCAGGCGTGTGGAGACCTTCGATCACGCAAAAGATGCGGATAAAAGAGGCGACAAGATTGTTTCAGTGATTCATTGTTCATTGAAGTTAAGTTTATCTGCGAGAATCCTGAGCCAGGAAAGTGGGTGATATGCACTGATAGCAAACCTGCTCTTCAGCTAATCAGAAATGTGAGATCACCTTACAAAAATGGTGAAATAGCACAATGTATTGCAGAAACTGTGGAATATGCCTCATCGCAGGTTCACAACATCGTATTCCAATGGATACCCAGCCACATTAGAATAAAGGGAAATGAAGAGGCTTATAGCCTCATGAAAGAAGCATTGAAGGAAGGACGGGATTGCGCAATGCCTAATTATGCGGCGGATATTCGACATTTTATAATGCAAGGAGCTAACCATTGTTCGATGGAGAAGTGGTTTGAGAGCCCTAAATCAAACGTAACGGCACTTTATGAAGTTAATCCACACAGAAATTTTTCCATAGCGACAGACCTCCCACGACACCTAGAGACATTATTCCACCGACTTTGATTAGAAGTAGCATACACAAACAGCTTCTTGCACAAGATACATCAATCCAACTCACCGGAACGCCATTGTGGTCATGCAGAAGAAAATGTTCGCCATAATTTTTTGTAGCGCGAATGAAAGAGAAAAATTAAAAAAAAAACTATCAAGTTTGGATAGACGGCCCCTCACAATAAAGAAACTACTTGGACCATGGCCTGAGATGCATCTCCAGGAAAAGACAATAATCTTCCTGACAGACTTTTTAGTGGAGACCGGACTGGACGAGCGCCCATGACAGACAGCCAGAGATGAGTATATAGAAAATGTGGTCATGTATATAGTGACAGTAAAATAGTAAGGTGTGCGTGTAAATGGTTTATGACGGTGTGAAGTGCTCTAAGAAAACTGTGTATTGGCATGATATTCTAACTGGTTTCAGTTTGCTATTAGGTTTTTTTTTCTCTTCCGTATTGTTAGTTTTTGGGTACCATTCTGTATTATTCTTTTTTTTTTGCTGCAGAACTTTGTGATATGGAGTAGCTGAGGCAATATGCACCTCAACCTCTTCACAATAAAACAGTTAAAACAGAACAGAACAGAACAGAAATGCTCGTATAAGTGATTCAATGTCAGTGCTGGTGTGTGTAAAATCTCCGTTTCTACTAAGAAAATTCTCGGGGTAAGTTTTCAGCTCGTCGTACAAAAATGGCCACGTGTTTGAAGTGGTCGGGTTTTCTACCGTTTGGAAGAGGAGCTTTTCACAAGATTGTCACCATAAACGTTTCTACGATTTCTAACAACTCCCTAGACAGATGAAAAAGGTCATTTCTAAGTTGTGAAATGCTTACTTTTACTAAAGGTAAGCATAGAGCTCGATTTGAAAGGTTTTAGCTCTTGAGGACTCACTTGTATTTGACACACAGCCAATATATTCAGGCGACAGCGTTGAAGAGCTTGTTTCGCAGGAATTCTGATGTCGTAAGCGTCGTTTTCGTGAGTAAAACTATCGACGTTCTTAGTGAGCGAAAATACAAAATGGATATGAAAAATCGATGGGTGCAACGTACAATAAATACCGCTTTATTTGAAGGATGTCGGGGAAAGGTTAATATGTTGCAATTGTTTTAATGAGCGGCACGTTACAAAATAGCGGTAAAGAATACGCACGAACATTTGAAACAGTCGCATCTGTTTTATGTAACCGATTGTTTATAGCTGCCTAACGATGTCAAGAGCAATACCTTTATTACAAGCACCAGAAGTCAGCTGAGATGTTGCACCTGTGCTTATGAGGATGGTAGCCCTGCCTGGTGCTACGTAGACTAACGTTAGTTCAAGGAATTATACGATTGACATTAACCAGACGTGACGCGTGTACCATGGGAGTACGTATATTGTGTTCTCAAAATAAATAGCGTGCTCGGCAACCACAACTCACGTTTAACAACAGTGTGCATACGTGAGGTACTTTCCCAAGCAGTATGGAGACCGCGCATGGCTCTGAGGTAGAATATTTGATTGCAACACACAATCCTTGCCTTAGATTCCTGCTAGGGTGCTGATAGTAATTCCGTTAATTCGACTTGGGGACATACTCACATACCATGACCCGTAGGTTAGAGTTATGTGCCAAACATTTATAGTGTGAAGAGAAGAACGAAGTGACGGTAATTTTACGCTATTTATGTGATGAGCAGCCAGATATTGTTGTTCAAACCGTTAAAACTTGTTACCCCCGTTACAGTTTTAAGCACGAACCACATAAGCGCGAAAATGCACGCGAAAGCGACGAGCGACGCGACGTAGAGCGTCTTCGCGCGATCAGTCGCTAGCGCAGCCAAACCTCGTTCACGCGACGGCTTCGGCGAGCGAATTCCACTGTTGCTGGAATGAGGCCGTCAACTCGCACCAAGAAAACCGCGTAGCGAGCGGTTTCCAATTTAAAAATAAGATATATTGTTCTGTAATGGAACGGAAAGTGTTTATTATTGCCTTGCAGCACTTTTTTATATGCACATGCGTAATAAACATTGCGTTATTTTTTGTTACGCCGACGTGACTTGGGCAGGTTCACGTGCAGTGTATCCTTGGCGAGTTGTGACAGAGCGCTGAAAAGCACGTGAAAACAACTGGCAGTACGTCACTGATGTATATCCTTTTCCGGTTTTTTTCTATTGGGTGCCTGACCCCAGCACTACCGGGCGATGAGAGACGGTTTCCAAATCTGGAGAACCGAGCAATTGCGCGAAAACGAGCACGCGACACGTCGTGCGAACGCCCTGTTTCGTCGCTCATAGCGTCGCTCGTCGCTGTCGCGTGCATTTTCGCGCTTATGTGGTTTGGCCCTTAAGTCAACTCCAAGTTAACGAGGTGATCACGACAGCACCCACATATAGGCTGCGTAGGCACAGAGACAGACAGACAGACAGACAGACAGACAGACAGACAAACAAACAGACAGACAAACAGACGGACAGACAGACAGACAGACAGACAGGCAGTCAGACAGACAGACAGACAGACAGACAGGCAGACAGACAGACAGACAGACAGACAGACAGACAGACAGACCATATAGTTTCCTAGAATACTTACTAGAGGGAACTCTGGCGCTAGTGTCTATGGGAGCTGCAACGCACGACGCTTCAGCGAGCATGGGAATGATGGGTAGTACACACATTTGTCTAATATTCGTACTTCTGGCCTGCTTTTGGCTCCTTGTGTGTTGGTGTGACTTGGAGCTGTTTTCTTACGAAACAAGTATTGGCAAATGTTCAACCGTTGCGCTTCACCATTTTATTTTTTTAGACTTACTTTCTAAATCAGCTCACAAAGTTCAAAAGGGCTAAATCTTTTTTTCAAAACAAAACCGAAACACAGCAATAAACGAAGCCGCAAGTACGATTCACTGTCCGCAAGTACGAAGACTGGGCAAATGTGTGTACTACCCATAATTCCCATGGTCGATGAATGATCGCAGTGCCTGAGTGCCCTCCAGTTAAATTTAGGAAACTCTATGAGCCAGCCAGCCAGCCAGCCAGCCAGCCAGCCAGCCAGACAGACAGACAGACAGACAGACAGACAGACAGACAGACACGTACAATCATAGAAATTCTAAAAGTTTCAGCAGTTTCCTGGAACTGTAGAACTTTGAAGTTTCGCATTTCACAATTATATAATCAAAGCGGTTGAAGTGGGAATAGACCACAGGCCATCAGCATAGCAAGCGGGTGTTCCACGAAAAAAGTACTCCATGACTTGGAACTCTTTTGGAAAAATATCTCAATTAGCAAGGACTCCTGTTAGCGCGTGTCAATAAAAGCACTACGAATACAAGAACAGGAAACGCAAAAATATGGGTCACGAACAGTCTTAATAAACACGCAGTTCTAAAAAAAGGGAACCTTTCCTCTCTCGGCGACACGAGTAGCCTGCCAATGCCTTATTGAGCAGTTAGAGGGCATTAGTTTTTCAACTAGAATCTGATCAAAACCACAAAGTGTGCACTTTTCAGCTCCTCGAATAGGGCTGAAAGTTTTTTTCGCTAGCTGCAAGTAAAATAGGCTTTCATGGTAAGCAACAGTCTCGGCAACGTTGTCGCTCGTAGTTACAGTAATAAACGCAAGTTAAGGCTCCTGTTTTGTACCCTTTGTGGTGTGGACGTGCTTTCCTTGGCCAGT